AGGACGGCTGCAAGAAGGGTCCGTTTTCCTTGGTTTTCCGTGTAAAAGCCTGGGTGCGTGCACCTCTTGGGAACTTTTGGCTTGAGCGGTAGCTTTCCCCGCTCCGGGATTTTTGGGAGGCGGGGGCTTGCTTCCCTCGCAGAGGGAGATGCTCTCCATCGTACGGAGGGCTGGTGTGAGCGCAGCTCCAGCCTGGGGGCAGGAAGGTGACAATTCGGCCCCTGTCCCTTGGAGCGCTGAGGCTCGCTGTGCCTGTGCCAAGCCGGCATTCCTGGCTCGGCACACACGTTTGGTGGCGTTTGGGGTTTGCTGTCATTTGCAGCACATCGCCAGTCGCTCGCCCAGAGAGCTCCTAAATGCAGCAGCGCCTGAGGAGGAGAAACGCTTTAACCTAAGCTTAGCTAACAACAGCTTAATTTTCCCTGATCGTTGCAAACAGAGAAACTTTCCGTCCTGAAGGCTTCTCTCCCCGCTCGGCGGTGTTAGCCGAGCTGCTGGCAAGGGCTCATTCTTGCTGTGAAAGCCGAGGGAAGTTTGGCTTTTCCGGTGCCCACTGCGCCAGATTTGCGAAGCGTAAATGAGAAAAGCTGCCCTGGGCTCCGTGTGCCATCAAGGGCTGCTCAGGTGGCTGGGCTCGGCTCGGCTCGGCAGGCTGCGGGGGGAAGGCGGAGGCGGCTGCTGCACCTGCTGATGCTTTGGCTCGGGCTGGTGGCACAGAGCGGCCGCGAACTCCCCCTGAGCTGCAAGCTGTTCGTGGCAGGAATGCCTCGCTCCGAGGAGCTCTCCTGCTACGACAACAAAGAGCTCTTTGATCCTTTCCATTTGGAGAACTTAAAACGAGAAAGCAAACTACAATAAGACCAAGTTGGGTCATAAAAAGGAGAGCAGGAGCACCAAAGCGCTCCGGAGTGTAATTGTAGAAGCAGCAAATGCTTTGGCACTTAATTCCGCTTTAGTGTCAGTTCAACATGTTTCATGTTTAAGACTGGAGAGCCCCTCGCCAAATGCTCTGCACAAACAATGCGGGGCTGCTCCTCGTGTACTCACAGAGCCCCTGGCTCTGCTGCCCTCAGCTGCACGCAGAAACTCAGACCTGTACTGGAGCCTCGTGTGCCCTGCTCCAGCCCTGCTCTGTAAAAGCTCTGGCACTGCTCAGGTGCCTGCCTGGCGCTGGGCACCGACCCTCTGCCAGCGGGGCTGCTGCCCAGCCCTTGTTGCAGGAGATGCTCTGCATGGGCCAGCCCTTGGTGCTGCTCAGGCAGTGCTGCCGCTTCACTCTGCACAGACCTGGGCCACGCCCCAGAGCTTCCCCTGCCAGGTGGCATTTAGATCAGACATTTTATAAGCCATTTATCAGAAGTTTGGCTAACAGATATTACATCTTCCCAAAGCTGTTGGGGTGTGTTTAAACCAAAACATGCTCTGAATGATTTCTCTGCAAAGAACTGACCTGCAAGGTGGCACGGCCTCGTTGCATGGGCAGGCAGCAGCCCCTGGGCCAACACCAGCAATTTGGTCTCTGCCTTGCAGAGAGCCTTTGCAGGAGCAGTGTTGTGCCTCTGCTCTGAGCAGGGAGGGTGCCTGGAGCTGCTGCCAGTGGGATGGTGAGGCCAAAAGGCAGGAGCAGCCAGTGGGCACATGTGGGGCACATGAAGCCCTCATTCCTGCCGTGGAGGAGACAGGGATGTGGGGCTGGGTGTGAGACCTCTGCTGTCCTGAGGCCAGACCATCACACTGGGCCAGATGGCCCCTGTGCAGCTCTAGGGCTTTCAAGAACTTCTTTATTGTCAGGAATCTGTTGAAAACACAGAGCTGGGTGTTTTGGAGGGTGAGTGCTCTGCAGGGTGTATCCCTGCCAGCACAAGGTGTATGAAAGGTGGCTTGGAGCAGCTCCCAGCTGGTGTTGGTGGCGAAGGAGGCTGCAGCTCTAGGCCAGCTACACCAGGAGCTCCTAGGGAAGGGTGAGCCTGTGGCTGGAGCAGGGAATGATGCTTGGCCAAAGCTGTCTCCCTTTTCCCTTTCGCTCCCCTCTCTTTGGAGGAGTGAGGAGATGGCTGACAGGCCAAAAGAGTGATTTGCTATGGCTTAAATAGGGAACTGATTAAATTTTAAACATTGGGCACCTGATACTTAAAAATTACTGAAAACAAATTGATTTTTCCCCTAATAGATAGCTGTGGGTACAGCTCTTCATGGTGGAGGTAACTTGTGTGAATGATTTATCCTGTTGGTGATCATAAGAGACACGGTAAAATTATCTTGTCAGTATTTGAGAATCATTTGTGTGCCTGTGATGTGTCTTAGCACATACAGGAATGCTCTGTTTGGGGAAGTGAGATCCTCATCCTGATTTATCTCTAGCTACTTGTAAATGTTGCTGTAATTTCATGTTATCAAACCATTTAGCTCTTCCTCTTCCAGAACGAAGTTATTTTATCTCATGCACCTTGTTTACTTCAAATTAGCCCTGAGGTTGGCCTGAAGTTGCACCTTGTTATCCCTCCACCTCCTGTCTCCGTCTTAGGCTCTGTCGGCAAATTTGAAGGTATAAGTAAATACTTTTTTGTTATTAATAGAATAAGTTCCCCCTCCTACACACATGTTTTCTTTTCATTCCAGTCTTCATTTTCTGTGAAAATCTGACATTGCAGTACAAGTGGAAACCTCCCAAATTGCATGAAAAACCATTAATTCTCCTAGCAACAAGGTCAGGGCTCAAATCCAGACCCTTTCCACAAGCATGGGGGGAACAACCCTTCCAATTACCTGCTCCCCCTGCGGTATGGATCCGGTCGGTTCACAGGCACCTGGGTTTGGGTGGATTTGAATCCCAGCCATGGTATTGTTTAAAAATTCTCCACTCACTGGGGAAGGGTTTGTAGTGGGCTGAGCTCTGAGAAACCTGGAGCTGGTTTTATGGCTTCCCATTGAAATCTGGTGGAACCCTGTGGTGTTGACTGATTTCCCCCTTTGCCACTCATGTGGCTTTGATCAAACCCAGGACTTGGAGAATGACACCCCCAGGAACTGGAACCACTGAGCTTTGCCCAGTTCTGCTGTTCATTAAAGTGTTTGTGAGCTTCCAGTTGTGGATGGTAAAATGAGGACCTTTGTGCCTATCCAGGATGGAGACTGCTGCTCCTAAGGCAGAGTCCCTGGATTAGCAGAATTGTTGCAAAAGTTGCCAGAATTTGCCCTCTTAATGAGACCTTCCCTGGTGCCAAGAGCCTTGAGGCAGGAGCCTGCGGTGCTGACTTCAGGGCAAACATCGCCTTCTGTCACTGGGATGGAACCAAAGCTCTGCTAAAGGCATTGAGTCCTGGAGGAATGGCTGGCCCTGGCGGCTGGTGAAGACCAGCCTGGCTCTCCTCTGCTGCTGCCTCCAGCCTGGTCATGGTGCCTGATGGTTCCCCTGTGTCTGGAGTGTTTGGGGCTCAAGGTGCAGGGAAGCCTGTGCAGCATGACCCGGTGGGGTTCCCTCCTGTTCCATGGTCCCCTGCCCTTTCCACAAACTGCAGCAAACTCCACAGGGATTGTGCAGCATGTTTTAGGATGGCTCCCCTGGAAGAGCAGGCAGAGCTGTCCTTGGGGGAGGGATGCTGACCATGCAGGGCTCGGCTCCTCGCCCCAGTCTCGTGGCCAGAGGAGTCCCTGAGCAGAGCTGGGGGCTGAGCAGCTCACACTGTTGCAGCTTCCCTGCCCCCAGGATGTGATAGCTAAAGACTGAGAGGGTCTGACAGTGTTTACTTTGGGTGGGCAGGCTTTAATAGTAGCATATGTAGGCCTGCAGTTCCAAAAAACTCGTTTGATTTCAGTGGGGAGCTGAATTGGGCTATTATGTTGGGCTATTAAGGGCCTTGTGTTGGCTTTGCTGAGCGTTAAATGAAGTCCTGTGGGTCGGTTCATATCTCCTTATCCTGTATCTACTGCTCAGCATCTTCTGATGCACAAATCAAAGTGCAGGTGCACATGACATATGGCATTCTAGGTACAGCACCAGTAACGCAGCAGTTAAAGGGCAAGATGTTTTCTGGCAGAAGGTTATGGGTGAGGAGAATTTCCTTTGTGCTCAAGCACTTGAAGATGGAGTTGTCTGATGCTGTCACTCCCTCCAGTGCTGTCTGTGCTGAATGCAGAATCCGTGTTCTGCCGTGTTCAAAGCCCAGTTCTGGGTCTCTGGTAGTCTTGATCTCCAGGCTGAGCTGAGCCTGGTTTGGCTTCAGGGCTCTCCAGGGTCCCAGGGACCAGAGTGGGGCCAGGGACCCCTGCAGCTCCAGCACCCCTGGGGCATCACGTGTGGTCCATCTGCCAGGGGCTGCCCTGGGATCACATGGGAAGAGAGGGTTTTCAAACTGCTGTGGAGGCTTAGACTGAGGCTTGTAATAATTTTAGTGGGATTTGGGTAGTTGTGGGTGAAAGCCCATAAGGTATTTCAGAAAACATCAGAAGTGAGGGGTAGAAGGGGAAACGCTGTTGTTTGGGCCACGTGAGATTCTGGGGTTTGGGTTTTTTCTGACTAATATGATGTTTCCCTGGCATGAGTTCAATTCATTCTCTCTCTCTAGTGGAAAAATGCAAAGCTGGATGTCTTGCTTTGCTTGCAGTTGAAGGCACTGGACTGGATAAACTTAAATGTTGTCTTTGAAAAATTTTTCTCCCCTTGGATAAGAGTTTTTTAAAAAAAAGAAATTATGACCTCACACTTTCATGCTTTAAATTTTTTTTTTTTTGTTTCAGCTGATGCTTGTTATGGCTCTTATTAACAATGTTTAAACCAAAAAAGAGGTCCAGATGTGATGATTTTATTTATGCCAAATTGAGTTTTGGTCACTGAGCTTGCATTTGGATTATTTATTTTTTCTTTTCTTTTTTTTTCTTTTTTTTTTTTTTCTTTTTTCAGCCTGATGGCACCAGTAAGGAG